CCTCTCAAAAGCCCAAAACTGACGTGAGCATTGTCTGGAAAGGCCAGACAATATCACATTTCCGAAGCATTCTCAAGAGAAAGCTAAAGCAAAGTTCTCTGGGTACTTATCACAATTTCGGGCCCTGGCTCCGCCCATATACACAGTTATAAATGACGGAGGCGGGACAGGACACTGTGATTGGACGGTCAGTCTCCGCCTTAAGCTGGCAGGTGGCAAAGTGTAAGTGCCAGAGGTGTCCGCATGGATTGGATCGAATGCTGGCACCCTTAACTCAAAGGGCTGTCCAGAATATTTTCATCTTGATATCTTAAAGGTCTCTTTCAATAATTATTTCACGTTCACACGGCATAGTTCAGTTGTAGTAATAGCTGCAGCCTCACTAGTATCAGCAGCATAATTTTTAAAAGTAGCAGTTGTAGTAACAGTAGCAGCAGCGGTTTTAGTAGTAGTATTAGTAGCTGTAGAATAATAGTATAAGTAGCAGTAGATTTAGTACTAGTAGTCGTAGTAGTAGTAGTAGTAGTAGTAGTAGTAGTAGTAGTAGTAGTAGTAGTAGTAGTAGTAGTAGTAGTAGTAGTAGTAGTAGTAGTAGTAGTAGTCGTAGTAGTAGTAGTAGTAGTAGTAGTAGTAGTAGTAGTAGTAGTAGTAGTAGTAGTAGTAGTAGTAGTAGTAGCAGCAGCAGCAGTACTAGTGGTATTAGTTGTTGTTGTTGACTTGGAAGAAAATGAGGACGATGACAAAATCAAAAGAGGAGGGAAGGGTGAGAAGCAGTCGGAGAAGAAAAAGCAGCAGCAGCAGCAGCAGCAGAAGAAAAAGAAGAAGAAGAAGAAGAAGAAGAAGAAGAAGAAGAAGAATAGGGAGGAGGAGGCGAAGAAGAAGATGATGATGATGGTAATAATGATGTACTTAAGCAATACTGAGAACAATTATAGCTTCTAAATTAATTTTTCTGATTAAATTCTAATATAATGTACTTTAATTAATTAGGTGTTCTATTGGACAGTTTTTCTGGAGGCGGTGGATGGTTGTTAAAAAGAAAGGGGGGGGGGGGGGGGGGAGTGGTGTTGTTGGGGTCACGCTATGCATGCATGCTGTAGCTTATCAAAGAATGTATTTAACACAATGTTCTTTTTCTGGGGATTTTTTTCCCTTTGTATTTACCTTTTTTCACAGATAACTTTTTTCAATGCATCACAATTGGCGTCATTCCACATGTATTCTCCATTCTTGTGCATTTCGAGGCAGTGCTCAACTACACAGGAAAGCACATAAAGTTAGGGACATTTAAATTATGTAGTAGTAGTAGTAGTAATAGTAGTAGCAGCAGCAGCCTTAGTAGTACTAGCAGCAGGAGCAACAACATCAGTAGTAGCAGTAGTTAGTACCAGCAGCAGCAGAAGTAGTAGTAGTAGTGGCAGCAGCAACAGTAGTGCTAGTACTAGTAGTAGTAGCAGTAGTAGTAGCAGTAGTAGCAGTAACAGTAGTAGTAGTAGTAGCAACATTAGTCGTAGTAGTAGTAGTAGTAGTAGTAGTAGTAGTAGTAGTAGTAGTAGTAGTAGTAGTAGCAGTAGCAGTAGTAGTAGCAGTAACAGTAGTTGTAGTAGTTGTAGTAGTAGTAGTAGAATTAGTAGTAGTAGCAGTAGCAGTAGTAGTAGCAGTAACAGTAGTTGTAGTAGTTGTAGCAGCAGTAGTAGTAGCAGTAGTAGTAGTAGTAGTAGTAGTAGTAGTAGTAGTAGTAGTAGTAGTAGTAGTAGTAGTAGTAGCAGTAGCAGTAGCAGTAGCAGTAGTAGTAGAAGTAGCAGTAGCAGTAGCAGCAGTGGCAATAGTAGTAGTAGCAGTAGTAGTCGTAGTAGTAGTAGTGGTAGTAGTAGTAGTAGTAGTAGTAGTAGTAGTAGTAGTAGTAGTAGTAGTAGTAGTAGTAGTAGTAGTAGTAGTAGTAGTAGCAGTAGCAGTTTTAGTAGCAGTAGTAGTTGTAGTAGCTGTAGCAGTAGTATCAGTAGTAGTAGTAGTAGTAGTAGTAGTAGTAGTAGTAGTAGTAGTAGTAGTAGTAGTAGTAGTAGTAGTAGTAGTAGTAGTAGTAGTAGTAGTAGTAGTAGTAGCAGCAGCAGCAGCAGCAACAGTAGTAGTAGTTGCACCAGCTCACCCCTAGTAAGTGTTAATACGATGACCAATCCCGACCGCCTTTCCGATCCGCGATCGAGTCGTCCTTTGGCGGACCAATAAACTACCCGGGTATCGATCCTGGATAGACAGGGAAAGACCTATATTTCTAAACTCGGTGACGCGGTCCACCAAAGCACGCTTAGACTCATTGTTGATTGTTCATTTCAAGATTATCCTCAACTTCATATCGGGCATACCCAGAATTTCTCAGATCTTCTCCTAAGTCTCTGTATGTCTCTTAGTGTATTTATGCTGACGACTCATATTCTGTGTTGGGTGTTGTAGCGACTATAAGGTTCTTTGTGGTTTTTACTCCGCGCTGCTCCGATTGGTATAGCTAGACCTTGCAATCGAGTTTAAGAGAGAAATGATTGTCTTCACTTTTGAGATCTTCAGCACCTGCTGCCTGTCTCTCGTATAGCATTGATTATGTCCACGTTGTCCACAGAAGCCTAATTTCCTAGGGTGGCTTTGCCAGCAAGCCCATCCACCCTCTCGCTGTCTTTCACATCGGCATATCATGGGACACATATGCATGTAATAAAGCGGAGCGCTGCTTTTTGTAATGAATGTTACCACTCTCTTCGCATGGATCCGGCCTTGATCTTTTTTTTTTCTTCATCATGGTTATAGAATCACTGAGAAAACCCTCAGACTGACTTGAGGAAGGCGCCGACAGAAATTTCCGAGCGGGCTTGGTCTGTGGGACGTTTGCTCGGACTCGGTAACACTGGTGGCGATTTTAAAGCAACCCCACTCCCGTCCACAAGAAAGTTTTGGTGGGGTAGTTTAAAGCTGCCATCCCCTTGGGTCCGATCAAGTTCCATGTCTGACAATTAGTTACTGATGATGTGTAACCTCTTACACGGGCTTGTCTCGAATGTGCGAGTGGATTAACTAGTAATCGTTACATTAGTCTCCCCACCCATATTCACACTAGTTCACTTCTGATTAGTCGACTTTCAGCCTAGCTAACTTCTGATTCGTCGACCTCGAGCCATACGACCTTGGGTCACTTTCACGGGGGTGTTCCGCAATGCCGTTGACATCGCGTATTTTATATTTCAATATGCCAGAGGTTTTAATACTCCAAAAACATCGACAACTGGGTCTAACACACAACCCCTTTAGAGAGGGATGAAACCTATGTCACAGGCAGTCTCTTTCTCGGAATAAAAACGTGAATGCAGCACAAGAGACCGCCACACTCAAAACCTCGACCACGGTAGACTAGTCCAACAAACGTATAAATGGAACGTGACCTACTTGGGAGACTAACGTTGCAATAACCGATTAAACTTTTTATTACAGTAACATGGCGAGACATTACATGCACCCTTTATTTCTCGTATATACCTAGTGTGTTTGTATAAGATCATTGGGATGCGAGTGAAACAGCTTCATAGGACTGCTAACAAAAACATGGAGAAATACATACATATTTAATTCGTTTGTAACATTAGAAGCACAAACTTACACATAGACTTAGAAACGCCTTGATCTTTTTTATTTTATACAGTCCATTTTCTCCTTAGACGACCTCTTGATTTTGCCACTACATATATATGTGAATCAATGTAGTTTACATTGAATGACATAACATCTCAGGAGTCGAAATGAATAACGGATGATTTTCAGCTTGAGAGAAGCAGTTACTTGTTATTATTTGCATCATGATAAACTCGTTGATAGATTACTGTATCAAGTGTCTGGTAGCAACTCTTAGAAAAATTAAATTCTAGTTGTTGTTTTTTAAACTACAGTATTTAATGTTCATTAAAAATTGTAATACTTTTTGAATATGTAAAAAGTAAAATAAAAAAGTAAAGGACCCTTTTCCACGTCTTTGTGTGTATAGGGCATATAGGGCTATAAATTTTATAGACCATAGGCACAAGATATGTTATGTAGACAGCATCACATCGGCCGCCTCTACTTCCCGGGACTGCACCCGGTACCCACTCAAAGGCTGGCTCCGCCGCGGCGACTACTTGAATGTGTTAAACTATGCTTAATTGTTACGGTCAGTATCTTTACCCTTCTCTTTATTAGTTTGTCTTTATGGTCTATACAGCTGATCGAAAAGTGATTTCTAGAATGAAAGTAGTCTGCGAGCCAAAACAAGTTTCGCCTCCCTGTCACAGACCATATGGCACACGACACGTGATGCACCCAACATCACGCCTACCGCCCTGACTACCCGTGACATTTCCTCTTACCTATTGTTTGGCTAGGTCGACTTAGGAGTCAAGATAGATAGACTTTGGAAAAGAACCAGTCTTGACGCCCATTTGATGCTAAGACGTTTAGGTATGCAGTCAAGGGTTTTTAACACCACCTGGACTCTCCGCGTTCCAGTATTAATTCAAAATGAATTAATTGGTATAAGTTATAACTGTAATTTGATTGATTTGATTTGATTCAAGAACCGACATCACAGCATTTAGGCATTCCCATAAGCACTCCGTCCCCATCTTCAGCAGCCAGCGAAGAGTTCCGATACAAATGGTGCCAGTAGCATTCTGATTAAACGTCCGTTTTGCCTTTCCTCTAAGCCTCGAGCATCTGCCAGAACCTATCGTCACTCCCAACTGCATCAATCTCACCCCACTGTGTTGATCAATCTGCTCATCCGAACTGTATAAGCTCTCCCACAAGGCACTAACCACGTCTGCCTTATCATGTGTCAGTATACCACCAAGCTGTGCAGAGCCAGCCAGTCTGTTCGCCTGTTCATTTCCCAACACACCGGCATAACCTGGTGAAAAAAATCGAGACATTAATCCTTACTCGTGTCTTCCGCAGCGAGGCATGCCACTCTGGACGAAGCATACCTGTCTTGATCTTCCGCAGCATGCTTTCTGAGTCATATATATATATACATATATAAAATATAAATATATTAAAATATAACTGTAATTGAGTTTCTTACTTCCTTGATAGTTGTCCGGGTTTGGGCAGTAGAAGTTTGTGTATTTAATCCTAGTGTTGTTAGAAATCCGACTCCAAACTTTTGTTCCGGCAAGAATGTGGGCTGCTAACCACACCCAATGCACTGAAATAGAATACGTTAATCACCTTGGTTATTTTCGAGCATTGCAAAAAACTACAGGCAACGTGCCAACCATGCCACCGCAGATAAGCGCACCAGCCACAGTAGTAGTCGCAGCAGCAGTAGCAAGACCAGCGGTAGTAGTAACAGGAAGAGTAGTAGAACTATAAGTAGTAGAAGCAGTTTTGCTAGTAGAAGTTAGTAGCGGTTTACTTAGCAGTAGTTAGTAGTAGTTTAGCTAAAAAGCGGTTAGTAGTAGTTTAGTTAGCAGTAGTTAGTAATAGTCTTCGCAGTAGTAAGTAGTAGTTTGGTTAGCAGTAGTTAATAGTAGTTTAGTTAACAGTAGATCAGAGCGCAGTCGTTAGCAGTAGTTTAGTTAGCAGTAGTTAGTAGTAGTTTTGTTTGCAGTAGTTAGTAGTAGTTTTGTTTGCACTAGTTAGTAGTAGTTTTGTTAGCAGCAGTCAGTAGTAGTTTAGTTAGCAGTAGTTAAGTTAGTAGTAGTTTAGTAAGCAATTATTATTAGTAGTTGAGTTAACAGTAGTTAGTAGGAGCTTTGTTAGCAATAGTAGTAGTTTAGTTAGCAGTAGCCAGCAGTAGTTTAGTTAGAAGTTATTATTAGTAGTTAATTTAGGAGTAGTTTAGTTAGCAGTAGTTAGTAGTAGTTTAGTTACCAGTAGTTAGTAGTAGTTTAGTTAGAGGTAGTCAGTAAAAGTTTTCTTAGCAGTAGTTAGTTGTAGTATGGTTAGCAGCTCTTCCATATTCAGATTTTCTATCATAGATTTTGATTTCTCTGTGTTATTTTGACACGTCCGTTGCTCTTTCATTGCTTTTAAGTGTGTGTTCTGTTGTGATATAAGTGTGATTTGCCCTTGCATAGTATTCCATCAGTGTATTTGCAGCCTTTCGTCCTGTTAGTATGTTGCTACCGTGTTTAATAGTTATTATTTATTTTTAGTTACTAGGCTCTTCATTGTTCATGGCTTTTACATATTTCAACAATCTATTTCCATCTTTGTCCAAGTTGAGGCTTTCTGTTTTTTTTTTTTTTTTTTTTTGCTAGGTATTTCTGGTTGTTTCATTTGATCTTCTTTTGTATTTTGCTGAGATGGGATGGCTTTGAAAGAAATGTTTGCTTCAGTTGTTTGTTCTCTCTCTCTCTCTCTCTCTCTCTCTCTCTCTCTCTCTCTCTCTCTCTCTCTCTCTCTCTCTCTCTCTCTCTCTCTCTGATGTCTTCCTGCCCTCTTCGACTTTTTCATCCAGGATCTGCAGTTCTTTAGTCCAGTATGGTTTGTAATTTTTCACTACACCTCTTGGAATTCACTCATTTGCTGCCTGCAGTATTGCTTTGTTTAGAGTTTCTACTGTTGTCTTCATGTTGTCATATCGTGTCTTTATTTTTTTATAGTACTCGTCTATCAGCAAAGCAAATTTATCCCAATCTGCTAGTTTGTAATTCCATCGAGGCAACGGTTTCTGCTCCTGTGGGACATAATCTATATTTACAACAAGCTTTACTGGTCTGTGATCACTGCCTGCTAACTGATCTAGTACACTGTGATCAGTTTTGTGAAGAATGTCTCATGTGCAGGGCATTGAGTTATGTCTCTTGGATGCATGCCACATCAATTTTGTCTTCATGAAGACGGTTTGTTAGCTGTAGTTAGTATTAGTTTATTTAGCAGTAGTTAGTTTTACTTTAGTTAGCAGTAGTTAGTAATAGTTTAGTTACTAATAATAAGCAGTAGTTAGCAGAGTTTAGGTAGCAGTAGTTAGTAGTAGTTTAGTTAGCAGTAGTTAGTAGTAGTTTAGTTAGCAGTAGTTAGTAGTAGTTTAGTTAGCAGTAGTTTAGTTAGCAGTAGTTTAGTTAGCAGTACCTAGTAGCAGTAGTTAGCAGTAGTTAGTATTAGTTTAATTAGTAGTAGTTAGTATTTGTTTAGTTAGCAGCATTTAGCAGTATTTTAGTAGTAGTTTGCAGTAATGTTTTAAGCGGTAATTTAGTTAAGAGTAGTTAGTAGTAGTTTAGTTAGCAGTAGTTAAAAGTGATTTAGTTAGCAATAGTCAGTTGTGGTTTAGTTAGCAGTAGTCATTAGTAGTTTAGTTAGCAGTAGTTAGTAGTGGTTTAGTTAGCATTCTTTTTTTTGTAGTGGTTTAGTTAGCAGTAGCCAGCTGTAGTTTAATTAGCAGTTTGTAGTAGCAGTTTAGTTAGCAGTAGTTAGTTGTAGATTGGTCAGCTGGAGTTTGCAGTAGTAAGCAGCCGCAGTAGTAGTAGAAGCAGCAGTAGTAGCAGCAGTAGTAGTAGTGGTAGTAGTAGTAAAAGTAGTAGTAGCAGTTGTTGTTGCTGTTGTTTTTGTTATTTGTCTGTCAGTCCGTTCGTCCATCCGTCTGTGTGTCTGTTTATCTGCTGTCTCTGTCCATATGCCCAAATGTCTGTTACCTGTCTGTTTTTCTACACGTCTACGTCTTCTTCGTGTCATTGCTGATATGCAGGGCATTCCCAAGTAATCTAAACTGCTGCCGGTCCACCGACTTTCTGTCCATGGTATAAAATGGCATTATAAAGTTAGATGCGTATCCTTTACAGGACGTTGCAGAACCATCCCAAGCATTTTTTTGGTTGTAATTTTTCTGAGCAATTTACGTCCGGCGTCTCGATAAAACTGTCGAAACTAACGCAAGGCGCAAGGCCCGCAGATGGGATCGAAGCCGGCATTACGAAGCGCGTTCGCAACGCCTGAGCCTCAGACGACGAGAATTTCATTATACATTCATTTAATTCGTCTACGCCTCTTTTCTTCCCATCTGGCATCCATCTAAGTGCTATTCGGTTACCGTGTCACCAGGCATTCTACAAACATGCCAACTCTATCTTCTTCCTTTGAAAACGTTTCTAATGAATACAGAATTAGATTACTTTGTACTGTTGGTTTTTTAATGAGTATTTTTATCTATCTCTAACTAATAAACTTACTGCCCCTCTTTTTCATTTCTCTGACAATAATTCTATCCTTTGCTACGTTGTCAATCTCGAGCATTTTTGCATTCCAACGTTTGCAAAAATTCTGAAAGTTACCAAAAGCATAACATAAAAAATTAGATCACATGAGTCACACAAGACAAAAACAGCACAGAAAAAGGCAGACAGAATGACAGACGGGGATGCATCCGGGCAAACAAAAAGACACAAATTTAAGGACATGCAAGCTAGACAAGCCAAACAAACCCGCAAGGTATCAGTCAAGCATATAGGTAGACAAGCCGGTAGACAGAGAAAATCTCCTTGCAGGTTCTGGGGCGCCAGCTCTGGGGCGCCAGTTTTGTGTAAACAAGAAGGGACCACCTGCCGCCTTACAAGCATGACGTAAAGGGATAAAATAGGGTTCTGTTACGATACTTTAGCACAATCGTCGTCCCCGCACACTGTGCGTTCTCGTGCGTTCTCGTGCGTTCTCGTGCTTTCTCGGTCCTCCGATGCAAGGCCACGGAAATATTTATGGGAATAGTACCACATTCCTAGTAACAAAACACCTCAAAAAATAACACATTAGTTTCCAATTAAATATACTCTCATACACAATTAAAACATAAGAATACACATGCACAGGCAGACACACAAAGAAGACAGGTAGGGAGGTCGATGTTTAGGTAGGTATGTAGGTGGAAAGGTAGGTGGCAGGCAGACAGATAGATAGATAGTTGGGTCGGTGGGGAATAGATAGACCTATGGGTCGGTAGGTAGGCGGACAAGCAGAAGCCAGACAGACAGATAACGTAACTTACCACACCATCAAACCATGAAAGCAGTGGTCTTACAAAGAGATAACATTTATCTTCAACATCGCCAGAAAGTTTTTCCCAGTATTCAGGACAGGCTCCTGCTGCTTGCAAAGACAGTTGTTGTGAAGATGGAAACACTCAGTATTAAATACAGGAAACCACAAGATAAAAAAAAAAGTAAAAAATAGATGTCTGAGAAGGGGCATCGACATTAAATCTGATTTAATAAAATAATTGTGGTGGTGTTGCTTCTTCTTCTTGTTATTTTTTTCTCTACTGCTTCTTCTACCTCTTCTTCTTCCCCTTCTTTTTTTCTGTTCTTCTTTTTCTGATTCTTCTTTCATCGCTTTTTGTTCATTCCACATCCGCCATGCTAAATATGCAATCCTGACTTTGTCGCAGACTAGACGGGACACTTAAGATCGCAGCTGAATCCCTCACAGCCTGTCTTTGCAATGTTGTTGCCTTGCTTGACTTGACTTGAAAATTTTTTAAAAAAATCGAACGCTTTAGCGTGCCTCTGGGGCCTTGCTTTACTTGCGTCCTTGTTTGTGTACGGTTTCATTTTGTTTTGGTGACGTGTACTCACGCCTAATTCCTTGCTTTTTTCTGCAACGCTGATTGGGAATGGATGCCTACTAGTCCTGAGAAGGACTAGTAGTGTTTGCCTGGGGCGGCCTGGATCGGGTGGGTGGGTGGGAGTAGATTTGGCGGTCGACATCATGCCTGGCTGATTGCGAGCTGTGAGGTATTCTTCGGGCTGGATGGTTGGCTGGTTCGGCTGTCATCGCGGCTAGTTGGGCAGGCGTGGGCTAAAAGGTGAATAGTGGGCTGTCAGCGTCGGGCCTTTCAGTAATGCATCTTCCATATGATGTTAGCCATGTGCTCAGATACTTAAATTTTCGTACTTGTCCCAAAATAAAACCATTGACTTTCATTACACATTTAGGAGTAATAATTTTCTTTGATACCACCATTACTTCTGTCTTCCCACTATTCAAACTGAGGCCCATTCTTCCACTTTCGTGTATAAAATAGATCTAAAAAGAAAACATCCACAATGTCAAATGTACGCTGACATTTTACTTTACAAAATGTAGTACAGAATAGTAAACATTTAAATACATTTCATGTTTTGCATTCTTCAGTCAGTCAGTCTGTGGTAACTAATACCTAGGAGTGAAAGTATTCTTAGTTTTTTTAACAAGTAACTAAACTTGTAAATTTTCACTGACAGCTTAATTAATCCATGACAGCGGCATTAGCTTTCCACACCCAAAAAAAAATGTTCCATGTTGTCAGCATTAGGACAGCTTCTTGTCTCACTGAAGGTATTTCCAGAGTTACTTAACAGACGTTCACTTGGTACGCTCGTAGGTGGTGCACAGAGACAACACTGGACAGTATGAACCAAGGTGGGAAATCTTGATTTGTTTAATTTCTACCAGTCCAGGAACGGAAGTAAGGTAACCACTATTCGTATTCGTCCCGACCGCAACTATTCGGCCGAATACCGAATAGTTATTAGGTCCACTATTCAGCCCCGAGGCGAATACGAAGCGAATATTCGGTACAGCCCTAGTTAATACGTCGACCAATCTGAACTAAATATATCCATATTATAGGTTCCCCCCCCCCAATCCCCACCAACCCTAGAATATTGATACATCCATTCTAAGACTGAGTTTATAAATGTCATGTTATCGTGTCTCAATTCTATCTTCTCGTCCAATTTATCGCGATGCTTATCGTTAATTAAGAATTGAAAATGGCATCAATATGTCACCAATGTGTCATCAATATCTCATCTTAATCCCTCGTTTCGTCCTGAAATACTTATTTCGTTTTACTACTCAGCTGTTGTTATATATAACTGACACAATTGATCCGAATTTTTAAAAAAAAAATCCGTCGAGGACAAACCTTCCTGGACAGCCTTTTTCTGTCCATTCATTATTTATGAAGAACAAAGCAAAAAATCGACCACATTCAACCTATATAGAGCAATATTGGCTATAATTGAGGTATCTTTGCTTGGTGCTAATTATGGCAGAACATGAGCATTCTTCGCCAGGTAAGAAGGCTTCGCAAAATTGCAGAGCCAACATCACGCAGGCAGCCCTGACTTGTCAGGACTTTATCTAGTGCCTATTTAAGACTGGGTCAACCTCGAAGCCAAAGTCTTGTTTTTGAAGGGGAACTAAATCCGCAGCCATGAGAATTTGACCCCACAATCTTCGAATCCACAGCCATGAGCGTCTAGCCACTACACCACGGCGGTTTCTCCTCTTTTCTCCAAAGCTTGCTTCAAATTCCGAAGGCCCCATTGTGGGGAAAACAAGAATAGACCCACTGCCTCCCCAAAAGCATGTCGTAAGAGTCGACTAATTGGGGAGCTTCCTTTGAAGTCGGAGTGCATCTGCCGGAGAGGCAAGGAACCAACAGTCTGTATTCAAGAGAATGAGATCTGTAAAACTGATGCACACGCAACACTCAGGTTCTGGAGCGGGACTGCAGTTCAGTAGTGGACGATCAACCAGAACTTTCCGCCAGAGTGTACAGCTGGTGAACGCGAAGAAGAAGAAGAAATTCCGAAGGTACTAATTTTGTCTGCTTGTCCGTTTTGCTTTTCCTGTGATTGCAAAGTGTCAGCCAGACCACCTGGTTACTCCCTGCTGTATCATTCTCTCCAGGCCATGATAATCTTTTCGTGCTCCTGCGTAGTTCGTTGACCCCTAAAGAGCCTTGACTTCGTCTACTTTGGCGTGCATCAGCTCTTCGTCTACTCTAGAATGCACCTGCTCATAAGCATGTGGTAGTTGTAGTAGTTTATTTTACCCCACCAGGACATCACACAAGCGATAAACATCCGATGACACAAAGTGCCAACTTGTGGATAAAGATCACCGGTGGAGAGGTCCCGGAAACCGCGTTCAGCCATTAGGCCGGGCTATATTGCGGCCCCTGGCAAGAGCCAGTGTGTGTCTTCAAAAAAAACGAAAAATGCATCCCACAAAACATGTGGTGCAGAACCACAGAATATGTCTGTCTGTCTGCTTGTTTTACAACAAGCTAGCATGTCCTGGAGACAATAATAGCTAACACTTGAAACACACCTTACAAGCACAAATCGGCAGCTGGCGCCAGAATCTAATAGGAGGCTTTCGGCAACGATCCATTCATTCAAGGCTGTACGTTGGTTTTTGTTTCGATTCCACGCTTATGTATATAATAACTGGTGCACCATAAAGCTAAAAATGTGAATGTCATTGAATCCCATTTTTTTTAATGGTATCTAGTCTTTTATTACATTTTTTTTCTGTGTTTCTGATTGCTGACGACAACTTTCTTACTGATGCGTTGTTTGTTTTGACTGTCATTTACTGCGAATGTAACCAAATATACACCTCGTTTTAATTTGTTGTTTTTTTTTTTCGTTTTATTCGGTACTTTGATTCTCCTCCTCTTCCTCTTCTTCTTATGCTGCTGCTGCTGCCATCGCCGCCGCCGCTGCTGCTATTGCTAATGTCCTTATAAGCGAGGTGGGTCGGCTCTGTTGCTAAGTCAATGCTAACGCTTCGTAATGCCGGGGTACCGGGTTCGATCCCAGCTGCGGGATGGCAAACTACTGGACGTAAATTTGCCTAGTGAAACCACACAACAGCCAGGGGCTGTTGGGGTTGGTTCTGCAACGTCATGTAAAGGATACGCAACTAACCAAAAGCGAGGTGGGTACGTTGTGTTTTGGTTTTTCGCTTACATAACCTCATGACATCCATTTTCAGTAAACCCTCCATCAATCCTCTTCTATAATACGCCTAATTTCAGCAAACCTTTCATAAATAATCTTTCATGACCTGCTTGTAAGAACAATCTGCTGCATTTTACAAGACAAGATATTTATTTTGGCTACACAAAATGAACAACACTCTTATTTAAAAAAAATAAAAAAAAAAAATAAAGAAAGGGAAAAATTGAAAGTAAGAAAGCAAGAGGTGGTCAGTGAGGAAAGTGCAAGGATAGCATCAAAGATAGGTGAACAGCAACCTCAGAGTGTACAACAAACATGAGAGACACAGAGTATAGAAGATTCATGGATCCAACCGTAATTTGTGGAAACGGTACCTGATTGATTAACTATAGAAGGCAGATTGCCGGTTTTAACATACAGCCAGCACATTGTATTCTACTGCTACGGACAAAAAGAGTTAATTTAAAACAAAAACATAAATCGCCTGCTTACCGTCTGACCTAGTGGCGTCATGTAGGAGCAGGGTAAGTAACAGAGCAAAGCATCTTAGGTTTACCTGTTGTGACAGAAGCAAAAACTATTTTGCTCTATGTCGTCGCATGCATTACTACAGAGTTACATCAACACATAATGAAGCACACGAAATAAGTTAATTCCACGGAGCTACACATCACAGTTCTCTCTTGTTACATTGTTTTAATCGCCGAAAAGTCACAATCACCACTTGACCTAGTAGGGTAACTTTTAATGAACCCGGCTATCCTCCGAATAACCGTCCTATATTATCTACGCAGAAAATGAGGCTCTTAACAGAGCCTCATTAGGTCATGCCCTACAACGATTTAAATGTTGTAACTCGAAAAATATAAGGAACGAAAAGTATAAGGAAATGGGGGAAGTCTACTACTTACCGATAATTAAATCCTTTATATGTGAAAATTGTGGCTCAGAAGTTGCAAATAGTGCCCGAATATCTGTTCTTTCTTGCCGTGACGTCTTGGGAGCTCCGCCAAATATAGTGTGGTCGTAAATACCATGCAATAATTTTCAAATGTTGCTCTGGCCTCGCCGAGCGTCAGTCACAATTCTCGTTCCGGGCAACACGTGATCAGCAATGACGCGTTCTAATGTACGCGCATCTCGCCTCGGGACAACTTCAAACCAGCAGCGGCCTGTATGACGCTCCACTAACTCGACCACCCAGTGACCGTGGCGAATGCGACCACGCCTGTACTTGCGACGGAGGATGTAGCTCATGAAAATTGTAAGATTTTTTCCGGCGACTATAGGGCCACCTCCGTATCCCAGAGGACTCACGAGCAAATACATAGGAGGAAGCTGCAGGAGAAGCGG